GGAAAGAGCGTGAGATGCATTGGTAAAACACAGCTAACAAAAGCATTAGAAAGCCAGAATTAAAGGTCAGGGAATCACATCCAAGGGTCTGTCAAGGAATAACTGCAAGTGAAGCAAACCCAAAACAGCTGCGTCCTGGGTGAGAGAATGCTTCCAGCCAGTTAGCAATATTTTGTTGTTTTTAAACTAGGGTACAGTTCACGGGCGTGACACACCAGAACTTACACGGCTAAAAATACAGCACTGTCAAACAGCTGAAAAAGCGCTGTTCTGTGGGGCAGCACCTTGTGCCTTCACGGTGACACTGACTGTCACTTACTGTGTTCTCCTTAGGCCAGGGGAGCCAGTTTCTTCTTGTTGTTGCTTTACGGAAGGGTGAGATGGTGCCTCATCTCCCTGGCTGACACGACAGTAAACATCAGAGCCTGAGCTTGACGCACTTAATTTCAATCAGCCATTTACTAGAACACCGTAAGAACAAGAATTAAAGCTGGTCAGGCAGGCAGTGCTTTATACAATGATCTAATCAGATCTCATTAGGAGAGAACAGGAAATTTCTCTTTCTCCTCAGGCACAATTTTACCAATCTACATTTTCAACTAGGAATCTAGCAGCTGACAGATCTGCTGGAATTAAGAGAAAAACTGGCTATGCTGAGGTCAATGGGAATACTACAAGAGATCTTTCTAAGGCTACAATCTCACCCTAATAATAAAACCATATACAAGAGAAGTAAAATAACAACACCGGTGATGCTACTTCCATCTTCTCAGTGGCCTGGAGAGCTGTAACTTCATATTCATAAAGCGACTCAAGAGCCTTTCACTCAGCTAGCATGCTATGAAAGCGCAAGATAATATGCCACCTATTCTCTACATGGGAATGTTATGCTGATCCAATTCCCTTTCTGCTATTTCAGAAAACAATGTCAGGTAAGACAGCTGAACCTCTCCTCTCAAATGCACAATACAATACCGCAGTTGGTGTGCAAACAGAAATTATCTGGGTATACAAGGTTTATGGTTTCCAAAGGCTGCACCATGATGAGCCAGTGCTTCCCAAGAGAGGGAAAAAACACACAGGAAAGAGTCAAGCTTTGAAAAGCAGGCTGCCTTGGCAAGCTGCAACAGAAAAAAAGACCACGGGACGGACCAACGGAGAGAAGCTGGCTGGTTGTCTGAGCACGCACTGAAAGGTGGGGAGAAAAGGACCCAGTGGATAAGTCAAGGGGGATCTCTGCATAACAAGGTAGGTGAGAGGATGAAAGCAAGGGCAACCAGTAATTCAGGAAAATCGTAATCCTCTGTATTGTAAGCATCAGCTGCTGCCACAGCTGGGACTTACTGCTCTATAAAAGATTAAGGTAGCTCAAAAGGCGCTGGGATCTGTGTGTTTGCACAATGCCTTCTCTCACACAACATACACCAGCATGGCCCTTCCTTACCATCTGGAGCATTTGAGAGTAATGACAGCACCTTCCAATAATCATGTTTCAGAGTGTGTGGGGGTCCGTTTTGCTGCTGCTGCTGCTTGGTGGGACGCTACTCTGGAATCTGAACCAAGCACATAGGGTGAACAGAGGCCAAAAATTCAAGTCAATGGTCTGAAACTGATCTCTGCATCACCAGAGAGGAATGGAGAAAGAAGCCACCCTGTACTGCAGCTGAGAGCCTTAGAATTAAGCAGCATGTGCTGGCTTAAGAAAAAAAACCACACAAAAAAAGAAGCAGAATGCCTGGCCTGTTTCAGTGTGGGCAAACGTGAGCTGCTGGAAAGTGGTGCGAGTATGTGCCTGGAATGAGCAGTGGGGACTCACAATCAGCACTAACTTGAGCGATACAACTAGAAATGCTGTCAGAAGTGATCCCTTGGCAGCTGCACCCGAACTACGCACCTGCCAGGAGGCCAGTGGCGAAATGTGAACCAGAAATGTGCTGCTGGCAGGGGGCAAAGGCGATGCATGCATCAGATATGCAAACAGAAGCTATGGAACACTCGGATTTGTTGGAAAACATGCAACACGTTTTATGCTATGGAAATCACGAGAAGCAATCCCTATTGATGCTTTGGGAAAAGGATCTGCGATCACCAGAATAAACGCAGTGGATGTTTCCTATTGCTGAAGCAAGGAGACAAGACCATGAGCACTGCCCATCTCTTTTGTCTCCCCTTAATTATTCTTTTCAGGGCAACTGTCCATATGGCTTACTTGTACCAAGCCGTTGGAATTTTATGAAGGCTTTACAATCTCTAAATTACAAGACAAATATTTCTAAAACTGACACAATCCATCACCTAGTGAGGGACATGCCAGATTCTTATTCTTTGCTCTTGAAGTACTATGTACAATTAAAGGATTGAGAACCATGATACTCAAGATCTGAGGTACAAAGTACAGATATATTTTATGCCTATAGAAGTCAGAGACATCACTTTTTCCTCTTCTGTTTCCCCATACTCAAAAAATCAGAGACTATGTATGGAAGAGAGGCGTGAAGCAGTTTAGTGAGGATGACGTCAGCCAAACAGAACAGAAGCCACAAAAATACTGGAAAAGAGGCAACGTGATTGCAAATAAAACTGAGTGTAGATAAGTGCTATACAAAGTAGCATTTGCAGAAAGGAACAGTTTAAATGCTTCGTATATACTACTCCAAATGAAATACATTAATCTGAAAGAAAATGAAGTGGTTATGTAGGCAGCAGAATGTAGGTATTTGTTGAGAATGCAGGAGTATTCAGAAAATCAGAGCTATTAAGTTGTGTTTAGAAGAGGAAAGACACATTGTCACTTTGGGTAAAGTATTCAATTTTGAATACCTGAATTGAACTTTCAAGCATTGCAGAAAGATATAAAAGACTAGGAAAAACTGTAACAGAGGGAGGTATGGAAGTGACTCCCAAAAACTAAAAAAAAAAAGCCCTCAGGAAAGTCTGATGAACAGAGAAACGAGGGCGGTAGAGTCAGGGGCGGCAGAAAGGAAAGTGCCGCACGGAAATAGCTGAGCATGCTTGTTTCGCTTTCTCCAAAATACAAGAATGTACTCAAAGATCAGCATCTGGCAGTCCACTGAGATGGAGGAGAACGGTCCTTACACCATGCAGATCCGCAGAGCAGTTTGCCTGGACCATCCTGCAAGCCAGGTTCATGAATAAATGAGGCTCATTTGAACAGGTGTAATGCCTGCAACTAAAATTCAGGACTGCAATCTTCTTGCTGCATCTGACAATGACCTCAAATAGGAAGAGCCCTGACCTGCAGAAATACTGGGTTATAGGCACCAAGCTGTTCTGGATACACACAGGTCAAGAGAAGGAAGAAGCGTGCATTTTCTGCTTGAATATGAAATGGATAGATCAACTTCTCCATTTCTAATCTAGAAATTTCTGTTTTAAGGGTTTGAGAAGAACCAGAAAACTGCAAACGAGCAGTTAGGATTAGAAAGTTTGTTTCTTATTTGAAGTTCACATAAATTTTTTTGTCCTTCCAGAGTGCTATGCTTTCTAGTGATGTTTGGTACACACATTTCATCCACGGAGCAAGGCTTCTCTTAATAGTTTGATCTGTCCTCCGGCTAAATGTTTCCTGAGGGCCTAAACACTGCTGGTCTCTCTGTTGGTTTGCCTTCAGCCTGAAAGTTTCTTCTCAGAAGGAAGCAGAGCCAGCTGATGACAGAACCACATATGATTTCAAAACAGAAAGGCAAGAGGCTCCTAAATAAACTTGTTTATTTCCAGTCTCTCAGCAACAGAGCCCTGGATTTTAAAATAAAGGCAAAAAACTGTAAAACACAGTCCATACATGGCCAAAAAAGAATATGCTTAAGGAGTGTGGGGGGGTGTCTACTCCGGGTGAGGTTCGAGGAGGCCAGATCTGATGCAATGGATCAAAGCCCAGCAGTACCAAAAGAGCACCTACACCCACAACTCCCAGGCACAGGAACGGATACTTTATTAAAGCCAGGCTATAAATTTGGCACACTTAGAATCTGAATTCCCATCGGATAATAAATACTGTGAAAGCAGGTACCCACGTTTAAACCCAGAGCTTTAAATTATTTGACAGTGCTCCTTTAACTACAAAATCTCAGTCTGCTTCTAAAGGTAAAAAACATAGCTCTAAGCTCGCCAGGAAATGTCATAGCTTCATAAATTCTATGAACAAACCTTCTATTCTTGCAATTCCAGCAGAATTATTAAATCTATCAGCCACAGATGAATGTATCAATTTATCTTAATTTCTGAAAATACACTGAGCCTCTTTCAGTTAAAAATTCATTTTTCTGTTGCACAATGAAAGAAAAAAAGAGGGTCTTTGCAGAGATTAATTAAAGCAAATTTATCCCTCCATAAATTACCATCTCTGGACTGAAATAAAACACAGCGTGTTTCAGAGAGGATAAGCAAACAGATGAATGAAGTAGTCTTATTTCCTGCAGATCAAGCAGTGTGACTGTCTGCTGTGGCATTAGAGACAAAGGGCTTGCCCAGGCACTGTCATCACTCTTGGAAACCAGCATTTTCAAAAAGGTCCAAGGAAGAGAGGCTGAATACTGCCACTGCCTCTCCTGCAGAGAACGACATCGTAACACAAGTTCATTACATGCAACACAAAGAATAAATGGCTCTAACTGTAACGACATCTCCAAAGAGGGTGCTCCCGCCATCCTTCTTGCTGCTGTTACAGAGGACAAGGGACCTCCAATGTGACTTTATTACTTAGGGTTTTTTTGTGAGCAAACAATGGAATAAAAGACATTGTCTTGAAAACCGCGTCTTTTCTTGCAGTGTTTGCTGTACAGTAGTACACAGTAAGTATGTATGGTAATGCGGCTTGCTGAACATAGTTTGATATGCCTTTGAATTGCATAGTGGCATCAAGGATTCGGAAGCTGTTTTGTGAGAGCTCAGCCATGACTTGTTTGTCGGGGAGACAGATGAGGAATTTTAGCCACCAAAGCTAAATTGTGCACTGTGGTAGCATCACTACCATCTTCCAGCCTCATGCTGAGGCCAACTAGCTCAGTTCAGTGGCATTCAGACATTTATAAGATTATACATTCAACCTCTGAAAGAGAAACCACACGGTGGCCCAAACAGCGTTTAACGTAGAAATCTACTCAATTCGCTCCAGGCTATGAAAAGGATTTCTACCACTGAAGAGAGGGATAGCCACCTGCCTTTGGTGGTCTGGGACATTCCAGTGGGTTTCCTCGAATGGATTTCAGAGTGCCATATTCCAAGATAACACAGGTACCAGTGGCCTTTGTGGGTCACGGTGACTCGTTACTATTAGTATGCATTTCTGGTCAGCTGGCTCACTCTCAAGTTTAAAGCCCTCAACTGAACAGCTTGGTCAATCAGTAGGTAAGAGAATTGTCCCCAAGCCAGACAGATAATGATCTGAAGTCATTGCCAGCAACAGTGTTATTATTCCAATTGTTGAGGATTTCTTACAGGGTAATTAATAGTCTCAGTTCCTCGCAGCCAGGAGTCAGATGGATTGAATATAGACAGTAAGTTACTCTCATCTCTGGGAACTCAAGCTCAGGACCAAGGTACTCAACTGGGCAAACACTGAGCTGCCTGAATCTTCCTTCCCTCAAGAAAGAGAGCATTTTGTCTTCTTGCCAGGATGAGTACTAGGAAGCCCAACAGTCAGAGTGAGCTCCATGCAAACTGACTTACCCTTGCTGGGAAGAGCACATGCATCTGAAGCTCTGACCACAGAACGGGGGACACCCCAGCTAAACATGCTCCAGAACTGACCCTCACAAATGACTGGTCACACCATCACTGTTTCTTCTGCGTGCTATCTTACTACTCCCAGCTCTTTCATCTTTAGTCACGTGCAAAAGCAAGGACAAGATAGATCATTCACATTCTGCGCTCAGAACAATTCTTACTTTTCAAAACAAAAGTAATTTCCAGAGAACGTAGCTCACCTTAAAGGATATTTCATACTGCTCTCCTCCCCATATCTCCAGACCTGCATCATACCCTCCCAGCTCCCAGAACCACTTTCTATCGACTGCAAACAGTCCTCCAGCCATTACAGGAGACCTTAAGGAAAAACCAGACTCCATATTACAAACACATTCAAACATAGAGATCTCCAGCTAAACATTTAAAAAACAATGACAAATATTCTTTTCACCACCGGGTGTTCCGGGTGCCTTTGTAGCCCTGTCTGAGCATCAAACAGTTGTTTTTGCATTATCTACTAATTTCCCACTTGCAAATGAGGAGGACCAGACCAGGCTCCCTTCAGAACCAGTCAATGCCTCTCCTCCAAACAGGCAAAAGAGTTCACCATTAAGTGACAGGACATAACTTCTCGCAGAGGGACCCATATACTGCACACATGGTGCTCCATCTCAGTAGTATGATCAAGTCGTTGAGTTTGACTTCAAAAAGTGTTTTGTTGGGGTTTTTTGGAACACTGCAGGAGTATAAAGGACAGCAGAATTGTCTCAATGTTGGCAAGCACAGCAACAGCAGAACATAACTTGATCGCAGATTTACTTCTGCAATGCACTGCAATCATCAAAATTGCTGTAATTATTCTACTAGATTTTCGTCTTCCCCCACCTGGGAATGACATATAAGCTGCCATTGGTTTGTTGGTTTTGGCAGAGCATTAGGGATACTAAGTTATGTTTGAAAGACTTCGGTAATAAATGACCACATTAAATGTTACACATTACAGTTTTAAATGAAATGTTAACTTCTGCGGGAATTAAGGTGGCAAAAAATAGCAATGAAAAGGACAGTGTTCACAGCTACTACACAATGCATTTCTTTTAAACCAACAAAGCAAACAGCTGCCAAAAAGCAAGTAGCTTAACACCAGCTTCTGACTTTTACAACACAGAGGTGTAAACCAACCCTGTAACAGGATGTTATTTTGTCAGCCAGCTCTCAGCACACTGCATTTCAGTAACTTACTCAAAGGGATCACTGGGATCAAGTTTCTGTAACTCAGGAGGAATAGGGATCCTCTTGTAATACATCTCCCAGTCAAATGCACCTCGCATTGCGTCTCCAGCCTGAGTCTCATATCCAAAGTGGTCATGGTCAATAACATCAATCATAGGACAAACGATAGTCTTGCGGTTTCGGGCAATGCGATCTGAAGATTGGAGAAACATGTTAGAAAACCTGCACCAGTTGGTTCCTTTGACCATGAAATCACAGAAAAGAGCATCAAAACATGAAGTTGTCCAAGAACTACATAGCTTTCTTCCTGTTTGTTCTCTTTTGGGCACATGCTCCAATTTATATCAGTTTATCCAGTATTTCTGCAATAATTGAGATATTCAAGCTAGAACTATTGAGATAAAAACACCAGGCACTCACACTACAGTGACCATCACCTAGAAGAACAGAAAGACACAGCCACACTACCACAGACACCTAAACCACCAGGCTAAAACCAGGCAATCTTGTACTCAGAGACAGTCCTCATTTTAACAAGCGACCGGGATGCGAACCCTTTCTGCACTGATTCAAAGCCAGGGCAATAACCCACTGTACCACCTAGCTTTAATTGCGATGACAGAATCTGGCAGGAAGCGATTCAGACTAATGGCATAAGTACTCTCAGCAGGCTCAAGAAATGCAAGTGTACCTCCTCCCCTCAACCTTTTCTTCCAACCAAATAATACAAGACAGGATTAATTCCTGCATAAACATCTGGAACTTCTTAAATACTTCATTACTGAGATGGTCTCTTGTTGGAAGTTAACTTTCAGAGCAGAGGCGACAAATGATCTTTCAGCTTCCAATGTACATCTAACAGAAATCCTTTCTATGCTTTAAAATTAAAGAATATTCTACGTGTTCTCATTTAAACGGCATTTGAGCTAATTCTGTCCTCCCTCCCTGGGGCTCATGAAGCTGCAAATGTTTTACACCATCACCAGATACAAACTGTAGTGAAAGCAACAGTATTACCAGCCAACAATCCTGCTGACAACCTGACCGGTTTTTCTTGACTATTGTTGCCACAGTTTATTTGACAAAGTCACGTCAGAGAGAGCTTTGACGGGTCATTTGCAATAGGGTTGTAAAGGAGTTTGGTACTGGCCAGAGGCATACAGGTACCAAAACCAGAAGGCACTGTCCTTTTCAATTAGTCATCCTTGGAAAGAACCGACATTGTAAAACTGATGCCTCCTTAAAAATGAAGCACTGCCTTGGAAAGGACTGCACATGTTCTACAAATACCAGCAGCTGTCATTCACAAGAAGTATTTTCCACAGGCTTGCAGACTATGAAGTTGAAAAAAACCCTAAAAGCTGCTTATAAACTGTATGTAAAGATTGTTTCTGTATCATAAAGCCATTCCTCTCTGCAAGCTGCTGAATGACCATGCAATAGTTTACTCTTCTAGCAAGCTGTAAATTATTTAAGACTTCATTTAGTGAGGAAACAGAAGAATATGATCTCTGTTCTTTAATTAAGCAAAGCACATGATAGGGCTATTGTACAGTGCAGGACTCTTTAACAGAAAAAAACCCACTGTATTAAAGGCTACAAGGTTCCAACAATTCACCTGAGTCTTGTGGTTGGTTGGTTTTGGGGTGGGGTTTTTTTGGTTGGTTTTTTTTTTTCCTTTTAAGACATTTCATCTTCCTTTTGTCCACTTACAGCATGAGGGGAAAGCAGCAGGTGGAAACAAAACAAATTCAACACCAAGATCTGTTGCCAGCTCTTCAGCAGTTCAGCCTTCAGCCACGCACAGCCCCACACGCTTACCTAACAGAGGTGGCAGCCAGTTGACGTTGGCCTCGCAGTGGGAATCCAAGAAGGTGATGACATCCCCTATTGCCACAGAGGCTCCCAGCATTCGAGTTCTTATCAGCCCTTCTCTCTTTTTGGTTCGGAGGATTCTTACATTTGGGAACTGGGCCATATAATCTTCCAGGCGCTTCTTCAGGTGTTCTGTATGAAAATGAGAAATTTAAACACTGTAACAACTAATTTCTTAAAAGTGCAGTTCCTTCTTTACCAGAAGATGTCTTTGGAAGCATGTCCTGAGCAGTTAACGAATACAGTAACAGGAAAAAGGAAGAATAATTCCTTTTAAATCCAGGGTTTAAACATAACTGCTTAAACAAGACTTCTGAAGAGATTCCAAAACCTTAGAAGCAATTAAAAAAGAAAAAAAGAAGAAGGAGAAGATGGAGGCATGCAGGATGAGAAAGAAAGCAGCCGAGAAAGAGGAAAAGGAATAAAAAGGCAGCTGGCAGACCTCTGGGAGAACTTTATCAGAGCAGGGATTCTCGGATGCTTTTGTGGAAAACCAATGTAGCTTAGAAGAGACACAGGACAATTTACTTTCAGAAGCAAACTGCACTCAGTGCATTTAAGTTGCATTTGGTTTCTTCAGAAAACACAACGTGACTGTCCACTAATGAATAAAAAAAACCAGCGAAAAGCCTAGTCAGACATCCCTCCAAGCTGGCAAGGCAGGCATAGCCACTGTACGTGTTTGGATGGCTATGTTAAATGCTTATCAGAGGAGATATTTGCATTTAAATATGGAAATATTTATGCTACTGAATATGGGCTGGAGCCACATCTGAATTAGCACAGACACTTGTAGTCACCACAATTAACAATAATTCAAACAGGAGAGCTGCAGAAAATGATTCCTGAGTGATCAAAACAATGGACAGCTTGTTTAGATGTGGAAATAAAAAGCTTGGTCTACATAAAGAGTGATGGGCACACAGCTGTCTTTACATCAAAGACTGAAGCACCAAAGAAAAACCTAAAAATAGTCTCAGAGCTGACACTGGCCTAGTCACTAATGGGTTGATCTTTAGGCATCTGAAGTTTTGCCTTATTTGACAGCAAACCCCATTCACAGTGTGCCAGGGACTGTTCATTAACGCACCATACTATCTGCTGCCATCAGCTACTGATCAAGGCAACAAGCCTTGCTGGGCAAAAGCTAGTTTGTCAAATCTAAGCAATTAACCAATCGTAAAACCTGACACAATAAAACTTGAATAGAGGCAATCGTTCAGATACAAACAACCGCTTAGGTTTATTTGCCTTGACTATAGGGAAGAAATCCATTCCATTCTGTATAGTAGAGTCTTCCTTGGCTTCCAAAGCAGGCATGAAAGGTAGGGGCTGAAAAGGCAGACAGTGTGAAGGAGCCCCCGAACAGGGCACCAGGGAAGCTGGGTATTGGAACAGCTCTCTAAAAAGAGCAAAGGGCCAAATAAACTTAACTAAATTACGAGCTCTCCCACATGGTGCTGACCCAGCAATTATGGTTTAGGGTTTTAGCTACTGGAGGAAAAAAATGGGCAAAATCCTTATGACTAACACACATTCTGCACCTTCTCTTTGAAGCAGTCACCACCTGCCTTCCTTCAAAGATCACCCAAATCAACTTCTTTGCTTTTGAGGTATTCCTAGCAAGCTTTTGCCTTTTTCAAAGCTTGCTTTATAACATTTCCCCAGGACTTTTTTCTCACAAATGTGTTTCAGTGTTTTGCCTGACAAGTCTAATTGTCCCACAATACCTACATAGGTTTCCCTGCTCAATAGAGCCTTTAGTACTTCTTGCTGTCTAGCACACTTTTCCCTCATCCTTTTAAAATCTTTTCTGAATAGATTCTCTCAAGCAACCAGAAATTTTGGTCACTCAATTACAGATTTTTCAAATAAGAGCCTTCCATAGAGACTAGATATATTATTAGTGCAGCTGCCTTCCTCCTGAGGCAGTAGGTAGACTTAAAAAGCCAAAAAAAAAAAAAAAGAAGAAAAGAAAAGCCACCACCACTGTTCTTTAACATCACAGCTCACCATTTTTAGATTATCACAAAAGATACGTTCATCAGAAAAGAGAAAAAACAATCCTCACTTCAAGCATAAATTAGCTAAACCCAAGCCAGGAGCTACACCTTAGTTAATCTACCCAAGACAAGATAAATATGAGAGTTATAATAAAGGAGGTGACCATCACACAGAAGCTCTGGGTCCCATTCCCCTAGCAGTTGCCACAGATACTGTAGCACTAGCAAGATCAGACCCCACAATATTTATGTTATCTAAACCAGACCTACAAAGTACTGGAAAGTCTTAAAAAATCCAAAGCTCAAAACCAATGGAAAATATATAGAGACTTTCTGTGACTCTTTATAGAAATAAGGAAATGAGACTGAAAGATCCCAGAAGTTTGTCTTCCACCTGTGTGCTGGCCATTTTACATTTTGGCATCATACACGTTTCTGAACTGTCCTGGTTTGTTGTGCAATTTCATTTGTGGTGAAACCTGAAGGCAGCCTAACCCATTCCTCTGGGGGTATGAGCATGGCACAGCCTGCTACCAAGAACTCCAGCATGATTTCGGACCTGGTCTCGCACAGGAAGACACACACCAGCAAGTGAACAAAAAGTCACTGGGCTTGGCTGTATTTGTAGTGATGACGATGGCTGCACTGCTACAGACTAGCTGAAGACAAGTTGATTTATATCTATGAATGAACAAGCAGTTAAGAACTGAGTTTTTAGAGTATAACAGGAGAAAAGAAGGCATAGGAGCTACAGAGTTTTCTCAGGTGAGTATTCTGCAAAGAGGCAGCAGGAGTCCCATCCACCGACTTCCCATTCCATTCCCAAATGCTGGGTTTTATTCTTTAGCACTTCTTTACTGTGTTTTCATAATAAAAAAATACCAAAGCATTTCATGCTTGCAGCAAGCAGCCTGCTCTGTGCTGCACTGGTGAGAAACACCTCACACATTAGGAATCTTCTTATGCCTCTGGTGGCTGGAAGAAGCAAGGAACAGCTACAGGTACTCCACCAGCACCCATGTATTCTCACTGATGCAGGGGATGCATGCAACAAGGGCAGAGCTTGTAGCCAGGAGGGATGATGCTCAGATAAGCTATTCCTAATTGCTGCAGAAAAATCCATGCTTGATCATTGCATTTTATAAGTTAAGACTTATGTATCATAAACTGCAAGTGAGCAGACTTCATTGTATCTACTTTCCCTTACTAAAGGGTCAGAGATTTCCAAGCAATCTCACAAACAACATACAAAACACAGTGTAACGTACTTTTCAAAGACAAGGTTTTCTTATTTCCTTATCCCTGCACTATTCCTGCCCCCCAGGCTGGCCTCCGCGTGCCCAGACAGAAAAATATTTATTTCACTCTATTACAAATATTGTTACAATTAAGTCAATTTTTGCTTTTAAAAGAAAATCTTGAAAAACCAAACAAGTGGCATTAACTGCCACAAAATTTTATGAGGCTTTAAAAAATATATTATGGAATCTTGTCACACTGAGTAATTTTTATTACAAGGGCAATTTTCTTTAATGAAAGTTGTTAGGTGAACTGGATGGATTCCAATGGCTGCGCCTACTCTGGGCAAAGTAATACAGCCCAAACATATAAATGAGAGTAAGATTATCTGCAGATTAAAAACTAGGCTGGTAGCTTGCTAACAGACTTCGCAATAAACTTGATGTACAGTGTATACATTAATGGTACCAGTCAAGAACTACAGCTTGCTTTATTTTGAGCTGTAAATAAAACTGTGTGAAGATAGAGGAGAAGCTTCACTAGCAGGCCTGCTAAGTCCCAAAGCTTTCCAAAATAAGACTTCACAGAATCACAGAATTGCAAGGGTTGGAAGGGATCTCGGGAGATCACCCAATCCAACCCTCCTGCAGGTTCTCCTAGAGCATGTTACACAGGACTTCATCCAGGCGGGCTTTGAATACCTCCAGAGAAGGAGATTCCACAACCCCCCTGGGCAGCCTGTGCCACTGCTCCATCAACCTTAGAGTAAAGAAGTTTTTCCTCATATTCAAGTGAAACCTCTGATGTTTCAGTTTGTACCCATTGCCCCTTGTCCTGTCACTGAACACCACTGCAAAGAGTCTGGCTCCGTCCTTGTGACTTCCACCCTTAAGATATTTCTATGTATTGATGAGGTCCCCTCTCAGTCTTCTCTTCTTCACGCTGAACAAGCCCAACTCTCTCAGCCTTTCCTCGTAGGGGAGATGCTCCAGTCCCTTAATCATCCTAGTTGCTCTTCTCTGGAAGAGGAGACTTCTTTTTCTCAGGTCAAATTCCTGTGGTGGTCTTACTGCACTTCTTCCTCCTGGCCTCACCACCCAAGCAGAGCTACCTTCAGATGCCATTAGCCTGGTGACCACTTGTAGCGTGGCAAGGACTTTCCAAGATAGGAACTTCTTACACCCAGCTGAGGTTTCATTCCAGCCACCACACGCCTGCAAATGAACTGAAGAAATGTTACCACTCCAAAACTAAACATATGCAGAAGCCGGAGGAGGACAGAGGACCTCAAAGTTTTTTATTTTTTTTTCCAGCTTAAAGAGGTAAATGCATGAGAAACAAGGCAACTTGGACATGGATCTGCAGGACTGGAACAGCTTAAATAGCACTGCAGTCGCAGGGTCCATGGGACTCATATGTTCAGGCCAAAGCAGAAGCTACTTCAATGCATCCCCTCACAGCAAACCACACAGCCTGCCTCTACTCAGCAGTGCCTGGTTCCTCCCAGTCTCTTTCACATCCCGTTGGCTCAGCCATGTTTTCAGAGGCTTGTGCAAAATCAATAGCTTTGTAGCCTACTTTGAATTGATTTGGCTCCAAACAAAAGTCATTTTCCCACAGAAATCAGTGGAAACGATACAGCAATTCCCAGGTTTCTAACATGTTTTTAAATGACATCTTGCCTGCACACTTTAAGTTCAACAGCAGTTCCCCTCCTCAGTACAAAGGAACCTCATTCCCTTCAGCTCACACAGCTCAGCTCTGCAGACAGCAGCAGGCTGCTGTAGTCACAGCTCACAGATGAAGCCTGACCTGGTTTGTGTCCTTTTCCCACCCCAAAATCACACACCAAGACCTGAAGCACCTGCTTGGAGGTAATTGCATATGGGG